TTCTTTGGACCTCCGTGTAAGGAGATGGCAGGCTATAAAAGCCGAAGACATTTTGTAAATAGGAGCAGAATCATTAGCGGAATCATGAGCTGAAACATGAACTGAATCTCTGTAGTACATAATGTGGGATCTTTTTAATCTCTGTACAGTTCTTCCTATTTTTCAACTTTCATGTAATTAAACCTTCGTTCAGTCTCTAATAACCCCTCTCCTCTCTGGCGAAGATCGCCTTTGCAGACAACGGTGGGGAGCCAGCAATCCTAAAGAAAACCCGCCGTACCTACTATCGACTTCGAGCCCTTTACAACTGGTGGCAGCGGTGGGATGCCACCTTCTACTTCCTACCCTTAACAGCACCGAGCTGGGCAGGTACATAGAAGTGTAGGTGACTTAGTCACGTAATCACAAGCATTGCACACGTCATACTGAGTATCGTCTGCTGTCGCACACATGTGCCACCGAAGCACCTACAAAACAAATGCGCCGCTAGCTGCCAGTACTGCGATGCTTTGCCGGTAAGTATGTGGCAAAAGTCCGGAGGTCACTCACCTCACTACAGATAGGATGCGACGTCACTGCAACCTTCGTTGCCCTTCCTATAAAGCTACACCAGTGTTGGACGTACTCGCAATGGGCCTCGATCGGGAGAATGAGCATTTAGAGATACTCAGGAACTGACTCAAAATTGCTCAACATTAAGAAGTATCGTTGCTCAACAACCAAGAAGTAACAACTGTGACAGTGGTTAATTTACACTCATCATGTGGGTACATGTGTGTTCTTTTCTAGCTTCTTTCTTGGTGTTTAAGGGGTAGGCTACCATGAGAGGGCAACTATTCTTGTTTATTGAGATATCCTAATAAAATTTGAAGGGTAGGCTAATAATAAAGCCATTTGAATAACCACAAAAGATCATACATTTAGGTTCACTGGTTCCAAAGTTACAGCCATTTATAAAGATAGTCCACATTGATTTTTAGTCAGAATCTGGTGAATTTAATAAATGTGCTAGCACCGTGAAATTCACTGTGATGATTCCTGGATGGGTGCTTTACACTAGAAGAGAGAATATATTTTTAATCTCCTTGCTGAAAATTTTTAGCAGAGCACTGAATTTGGTGTTTGCTATTGAGCATTCATCAATAAAATTCTAATTATTTATCACAAATCACAGACACAATAAATATAACAAATGGCTCTGTCAGTGTGTGGGGTATTTATTAGGATACATAATAAAATAAATCTGATAGAAATCAGATGAGCGGTTGCAGAGATATCATCAGACTAAACAGTCTCACTGGCCAAAAAAGTCATTCTGAGGAAACGGACATTGAAAGTTTCAAACACATAATTTGGTCATTTGGACCCTGCAAAGCAGCTAGAAATGTTCTTTAGGACGTTCTTTCTTTTCGGCTTTCCTGCTTGTGTTGCGGCTGTTCTTGAGCCTTTTTCACGTGGAAAGGGTCTTCCTCTGCAGCCTGTTAGTAGCCGGCACAGCGCCGTCACTTGCCGACATAGCGCCGAGCTTTGGTTGCACAGCAACACGTTCACTATTCTCTACGGCTCATTCCTCGCAAGTCCAAACACCTGTTGGCAAATGCACAGTCGACGACGCGGTGGCACTGTTCGAAGCCGTAATCACTGCAGTTAGCGAGCGCAATGCACCAGGCGCACGAAACACGAAAACGAAACACGAACAGAGGCCTCACTTAAGACGACGAAGCGTTGGGCCGATTCTCAATGCCACGATAAGCTGCTCAGCAACGATGTGACTGTCGCCCACACGTTGGCACGTGAACGAGCCTCACCATGCATACGAGCTTCATTGAATGCTTTCTTGAACAGAACGGGTGCCGAGTTTCAAACATTGCCCAGCCCATGATTAAAGACAGAACAACAATAAGCATACCATGAACACGGCGAAAGATTGTCTCGCAAAAACAGTGAAAGATTGGACAGCACACGTGAGACCCCTGCGAAATGAAGACAAACGGAAAAACAACGCATGTCAAGGGAACAACGGCGCTTGCAAGGCCGGCGCCGAAGCAGACGGCAAGCCGAGGGAATAGATGCGTCATCGCGCGCAGCAGCCAATAGGAGCTGCACGATCGTCCAGTCCCTCAAGAGGCGTGCGCTTCCTCCAAACGCGGCTTCGCATCCGAACTGCCAGAGACTTCAAAACTTCGAGAGCTCCTCAATTATGAGCGATTCTCGTGCGACCACACGACTGCAGCTGCCGCGGGTGGCAGAAAACAAAAAGCGAGAATTCACAAGCAAAACAAAACCAAGATGGCGACGCTGGGCCGCATGGTTGAGAAATTGCAAACACGCAAAGTTGAGGTATTTTCAGCGCTCCCTGGCTGATGCAGCATGTTATATAATTTATTTGACATACTTTCACGATTAATTAAACATTATTATTTATAGAACAGATCGATTAAAAGACATACTCGAATATGTGGTTTTCAAAAAATTGACTTTTTCAAAATTTTTCGGTTTTCAAAGGGCACGTCCCCCCTTAAGCAGCACGCTTCCAGGGTCGAGCTGTGACAGTAGTTCATCTGTGAGCTCTCTTTTCGTGGATCTTTTATGCTTGAGTGGCGCGTTGCATGTATAGAGTTGCTTGCCCTTCTTTGTGTGACATTCTAATTTCTTGCTATGGCAATCACTGCACCACCCTCGGCATGAAACTAACTTTTAGTTTTCACATGCATTTTTGGAAAAAGGGGCCATGTGCACGCATGCCACATTACTGCTTAAAAAATGGGGAGACACGTTAAGAACGGCAAGCAGCTCAAAACTTGGAGCACACACCTGGACCAGAGAGCACTACGGAATTACCATACACGGGACGAGTGCGGACTAACAACTATTACAGCTTGACACTTAAAGCACACTCAAACAAAAAGAAAGATGCACGAAACAAGCACACAAGTATACACAAGACAAGCACGAACAACTGTCCCAATACCTCCATCGCCATGTGCCAGCAGCATGCTCCTTTCGTAAACGCGGCTGCGGCACCGGAGAAAGTGAACTTTGTCTTCTCCCAAATAAACACACGCGAAGGAGAGACCAGCTCCGTGGAGGCGATGACTTTTAAAGTGCACCCAACGTGAGTCCGTCACTACTGATAATAAAAATGTACTAAAATTTCGGAGCTCTGAAGACCACCGCACAGTGTACGGTGTATATAAATGGCTTGCCATTATTATCATTTGTGTAAAGATGTGCTCTGTGGCTTAGTGTTTAGCACTGCGAATTGAGAGATTGCTGGTTCGATTCCGCGCACAAAATTCCTGCCTTTTAGTTTTTGTTCTTTGCAGTTTGTTAGTATACATTTTACGTCATATCCATGAGAGAAATACGTCGTCAGAGCCATGGTGGACTCGGGCATAAAACACTTTCATGGTAAAAGGACATATAGGTCTGGCTTTTACGAAAGAAGTGTTGTGTGGAGCAGGAACAAGGTGAAGGTGAAGGTCATGAAGCTTGTCGACAATGTACACGCAAGCAGGAACCAATACCACCAATGCCGTATGGACTGCATCGCTGAGGCTGCATGTTGGTCACCTCTTTGTGCGCCCGCCTCCCTACCACTGCCAACTGAACCCAGTCAAGTTTGCTTGGAGCAAGGTGAAGGTCTTCGTAACACCAACAAACAAGACGTTACACCTTGCCATGGCAGGGAATAGAGCAATTGACCATAAGAGAAGTGGAAGAGATGTGGAGCATTTTATAGCTCGGGAAGATGTGGTGAGCAAACTGAACCACTTCACTGAGTATGTTCAGACTAAAGCAATTGTGGTAATCACGCTGGAGCACAAAACAATGAGCAGTTCAGATTGAAGTTGTGATGAGGAACATGACATGTGAACGTTTAACTGCTCGCGTCAATCATTACATATGTGCGTACAGGTTGGGATTATTGAGTACTATCGTAGCCAAAATGAAAACACCGAACTGTGCTACTATGGTGAGGAATCAAGCAAGTGACCGCTGAGAAGTGAAAATAGAGCTTCAAATTTATTTATTCAATCATTCCTTTGTTAATTGATTCAGCAACTGAAGGAAACATTCTCGTACATGTTGCATAAACAATTAAAAGAAAGCTAGAATGTGACAAGAACTCATAAAAATCGTAGACAGTAACAATGAATAGAAAACGTTGGGCCAATTTTCTTGCAACGCTGGTTGTTCCACTCATAAACAAGCAAAACAAAAAAATACATCAAAATAACGTCCCTAGAAACAACAAACTTGTTCTATCTAGGGACCTCAGATCAAAACGGTAACAAGTGCCATCTGCTGCAAAAATCAAAAGATAATTAGTATAGTAGAGCGAAAGCCCACGTATAGCCCAGGGTTTTATCCCTAGATTTTAGGGTACAAAATTTTGGCCCGTACTATATGCAGGTGCGAAGAATGTTCAGCCAAAATTCAGTTTTAGATTCAGCATAGCGCGATTCTATCATAATCATCAGGTGTTTGTGCGCTTCTGCGCTAGGTGATAGGTAGTGTTAGCAGCAGTAGCAGGTGTTGGTCTTACAGACCCACCTGTGCAACAGTGGTCAGTGGCCTTTGATTCAACTTGGCGCCCGTAACGACGGCCATGATTTTGCTCCAGTAATTTTTCGCCATGTCCGCAAGCCTTCCACAGGTGTCCTTTCGTTTGGTGGAAGAAAACATGTACTTCACTTTTGCAAACCAGGCCATGAAAAAATAACCCCTTTAGCTGAGGTATGCGATGAATCACGACAACAGTACTCACTGATTGAGCCTAGCTGGAAGCAGCATCAACATAGATCAATCAACAAAAACAGCATCACATAAAACATAGTCGGTGCACGCCATTGTATTCTTTTGGACTGGCTAATGTGTGACTGACACTGATGCTCCGAGTTGCAACAAAGCTTGCAAGACACCTCCGCAGGTAGAGTCAAAGCCATCTCTCATTGCATGCTACAATTGTACCTTTGATCAGCAATGCACGAGCTCACCTGCTTTCCTCAGATGAGGACAACTCGCTGTCATCCTCAGAGGATGACAGTGATGACTCATCGCTGCTCTCATCTTCTGAACTGCTAGACACTGATGGAGATCGTCGCTGTCGCTTGCGTCGGCTCTCTGTCACAGGACTGCACATAGCATTACCAGTGTTACGCAAAGCAACATTTCGACAGTATGAGTAGCACAAACCTTTTCCAGGACTTGCGTTTCGATTTGGATGCCTGCTTCTTCTTAGGCTTGCTTTTTCGGTGGCGCTTCACCACCGCAGGAGATTCCGACCTGCACCACAGCAAGAAAATACTCAAGAGGCCTTTCACTGGTTCATAAAACATTGCATACCAGCCAACCTGGAACCATGAAAATTCGTAAAATCCCCAAGTGGGGAACAGGGGGGTAGGGTTACTGACTTTTTTTTAAATATGTAGCTGTGATTAATTTGCCTTTAAAAACAAGCATAATCATGTTTTGCCACTATAAGTCAAATCGACGTGCTGAATTATTTTCCCCTTGGCACCAAAAGAAAGAACACAATTTTTCCGCGGCATTGAGAATGACATTTTTGGGTGGCTCGCGACCGTCAACTCATTCACCACCCTCCATGTTTGGCCAAAATATTGCAAATGGGCACTTGCCATCGAGAGCCTTTGCGGTGCTGCCAAGGCATGGCAGAGCTACGAAGGCGTCAAACAACAATCCTGGCTGTACTGGTGTGCCCCATCAGTCGGGGAGGCGCAGCTGTCAGACGCCAGCAGCACCTCCCCGACCGTCTGACAGCAGCGCCTCCCCGACCGAAACACAGTGTGAAACTCCTCGGAGCTACGAGACGCACAACCTCGATGGTGAAGCCCCGGCCCTTTTTTGTCTACTAATAATTTTTTCCATCCCAATCAGCATGGTTTTCGTACCGACAATTCTTGTGAAACCCAACTAGCCCTTTACTTGCATGAAATTCATTATCACCTTAATAATAATATCCCCATTGATGCTATATTCCTTGATTTCGAAAAAGCCTTTGATAAGGTTTTTTTATCGTCACTTACTGCTTAAACTTTTATGCCTGAACTTAGACCGCTCCATGCTGAAATGAATTTGCGAATGTCTACCCCGTCGCCGGCAGTTTATTGTTGCTAACTCTTGCAAATATCCCCTTACTCCTGTTCACTCGGGCGTTCCACAAAGTACTGTACTAGGTCCCCCCTCTTTTCATTTTACATTAACGAGTTGCCACGTAACATCACCTCTACTAATAAATTATTCGCTGATGATTGCATGTTGTATCACCCTGTAAATAATGCCTCACATTCTTCTGTTTTACAGTCAGATATTGACACTATACAGCAATGGTGCGAGGATTGGTTAATGTGGCTAAATGTTAACAAAGCTTTCCTAACAACTTTTCATCATCGTAAAGACTACATCGTCAACACTTACTTTCTACACAACTACCTCATAGCCGCTACCAACACTACCAAATATCTCATCTGATCTAACATGGATTTTACACATCATTGGCATCACTAACTCAGCTAATCGAGTTCTTGGATATCTACGTCGTTACTTTGCTTTGGCACCTGCTGCTACTAAACTAATAGCTTATAAAACACTCATCTGGCCTGAACTGGAGTATGCTAATGCCATTTTTGATTCTCATCACGCTAACCTTACTACTACGCTCAAATACATTCAGAACCGTGCTTCCAGACTTATTATTTCAAATTACTCAAACAACATAAATGTGTTAGCAGTCAAACACCAGCTTGATCTTCCTCATCTTGCCTCTTGCCGTAAAATTTCATGCTTGTGCTTGTATCATAAGTTTTTTCATTCTTTGCCACTAGGCAATGCATTTATCAGACCTGTACATAGGACAGCACGACATTACCACCCAAACGCAGTATATCCCGTACGCCCAAAAACAAAAACCTTCCAGAAGTCATTTTTCCTTCAGACAGCACATGACTGAAACGACCTTCTCGCCCACATCGCCATGTCATCTCAGTTCGATCATTTTAAAAAGGCCATAAAAAGCCATATTTTATCTTTCTAATTACAATCTACTGCTGTTTTTCTATATTTTGTTATTTGTGCCACTTTGCTTTCTTTTTTTTGTTTCATCTGTTATATTTTTTTAGCCCATCCCTCATGTAATGTTCCTCGGGACCCTTGAAGTACTAATAAACAAAATGAATAAACAAATGTGCCCTCTCTCGGAGACCGAGGTCAAGGGCACAGTCACGACGTCGTCACCGTGCCCTCCACAAATATCCCTGACCCAGGACTTTGGGCTTCCGACAAGCCACGACCTGATGGTACAGCGGTATTCTGTGGCTTCTTCACGGCATGCAGCGCCGAAAGTGCAACAACAGGCACCAATGGAAACCGCCAGGTGGGTTTCGTGGCCAAGGACCCCAACTTGCGACCCACTTCCCAACTGGACTTCCCTCAAACTGATGCCACCTTCAGATCACTGCAGCTAGTTAGCCTGCCTCCAAGGTGGCCAGCCCGAGGGTGCAGCCCAGTGTGACGCAATCATTGGCCGAGTATGTGAACGCTCGTCACTTGTCAAGTGCTGTCTCCCTAAACGAGTCTCGAGTGTTAACAACGCCTGCGGATGATGTCGTCCAAGTCATGCCAATGCAGCTCATGGTTGCATCTGATGGCAAGAAAGCTGGCAAGGTCAGCTTCACTGCATGTCACACAGTGGCAAGAATGACCACCTCGACCACCAGAACATCAGCCGTGCCGCAAAAGCACAACTTGCCTGCACAGCGATGTCGCTGATGTCTAGTGAGATAGCTCATCACATCTTCACTCACCCTGAACAGCGAAGACGTCCCAGATCAGTGTGGGCAGTTGCAGTACTGAATTCTGAATTTCCTGCCTTGTCGTCCAAAGTGCAAAGGGGTAGTCGTCACGATGGCCAATGCGATTACTCATCAGCCAGTATCACCTGCTGTGTTCATATCCTAAAGGTGACTATATTAGCTACGGACGCGACCTGAAGTGACCACCTCGACACAGCCAGGGTCATCCACCAGAGTATATAAAAGTTCAACAGGACAGCTCGGGGCATACACATGACGGACCTCCACGACACTCCTAGTGCCGCCCTCCAAAGAATTTCAGGCGCTATGTGCGCTCGCTGTCGTGGCTGAGTGTAATGATGAAGAGCGGCAAGAACCTTGGGCTCACGCTTTGCCAGCGAAGCGAGATGGAGGAAGACGTGATCAGAGAATAAAACCACCATATATATATATATGTGACGTAAGATGGCAGAGATGGTTAGGGGAAGTAGAGGAGGGAGAAGTGCATGGAATAAACATGGCGTATGAGCCAGGCCACGTCACCCATTCATCATAGCGTCACACGACTCGACAGGATGAAGACCTGCCAGCCCCTTCATCAGTTGCTCATCATCTACGCGGTTCTCCGAATGATGCCCTGAGCATACATGGACTACCGTGCAAGCGCCTAGCATTACGCATTGACCAGCATCATGTCAGAAGCATCTACTGACCTTCCCATCCCCAAGTACACCGGAGTAGCGGACGATGGACCCGTACAAGACTGGTTCGACCTGTTCGAGCTCCACGCTACCGCTGCATCATGGTCGGAATGGGAGATGATCATCAACTTTACCGACTACATCTCCGGTGAGGCTTTCAAATTCTACCTCACCCAGATATCTCAAAACGACGAGACATGTGAAAAAATCAAAACAGAAATGATCGTTTGGTTCAAAAAATACGATTACGACTACGACGAACATTCGCTTATAACCAACCATCCACAGACAAACGTGCTCGGTCGCCGCAGTCAAAAGCACTGCTCACGCATTGGGACACCAAAAATGAATCGGCCTGTGAAACAAGAGCAATTAAAGCACCCCCTCAATGAAAGGCAGCCAGATCTGTTTGCAGGAAGAGTGTACCCTCCAACGCACCGCGTTTTGCAACTGCCCGATCGAAAACCAACCTTTGCGTCATCACAGCACCGTAGCACTCACATTAGGGAGCCACCCTGTGCACAGTACTTTTCGCCTCGCGCACTTCGACCACCTTCTGATGATGATGAGTAGTTTTTAGTGGCGCAAGGGCCAATTGATGGCCAAAGAGCGCCATTTCAATCGACTACAGATATGAACAATGATATGGTGCGTGGCTGTAAAGGGGCCTTAAAATTCCTCGCTCTAACGCGGGTTAAAACATGAAAGTAATAAAATCATGACAGTGGCGTGACATATGTGTGGTGATAGCTGATGGCATGATGATGTTTGATGTTTTATGGCGCAAGGGCCATTTCACGGCCAAAGAGCGCCAGTTCATCTTACTAAAAAAAATGGACAATGATTGTGATAAGCGGCTGTATAAGGGCCATAAAATTCCTCGCGGTAAGGCGGGTAAAAACATACAAGTAATAAAATCATGATCATGCCGTGAAAGGTGTGTGTGGTGTGAATAGATGACAAAAGTTGGTGATAATAAAAGACGATGGTGGACAAGGGCCGTGAGGCAAGTGCTTTCTTTTGTAACCACCGCAGCAAAAACCTCTCTGGAGAGGTCATGCTACGGGATGCCCGGGTATATGATATGAAAACTATGAATTTCATTAAAAAACGCTAACAATGATTTGTGGCTAAAAAGCGGTTCCCTACCGACGAACATTGCAGGGTGTAAAGGTATATGTTGTCGGTAGGGTAATGGAAAGTGTTGTTTTCTTACAGTGTCCAATTGTTTGCACTCAATTAAAATGTGAAGGACTGTCAATGCTTCACCACATCTGTCACACAATGGTGGATCGCCACCGGACAAAAGGTGTGTGTGTGTCGTGTATGTGTGTCCTATCCCGAGTCTCGTTAGTATTACCTCTGTATGACGCGATTTCGATACGGGCAGCCAATGACCAAGGTGTGGCTTAATAACGTGTAGTTTGTTTTGTGTGTGTGTATCCCACTTGCTCTGCCAGTATACTCCGAGGTTTTGTTTGAGAGATGGCTTAAGATCAAGGGCCGGGATTGATATGGGTGTAGGGGCAGTGCTTTTGTGGACGGATGCAGCGAGCTGATCCGCCCTCACGTTGCCTTGAATCTCACGGTGCCCTGGCACCCAGCACACTACAACATGTTGTTTGAGTGTGTAGAGTGTGCATAAGATGGAGTAAAGTGAGACAAGGACTGGGCTTTTGTGTTTTTTAAGAGTGTGCAGAGCCGTTACCGCACTGAGGGAGCCTGTATAAGTTACTGCTTTTTGTATGTGTAATTGTTTGATGTGTTTAGCTGC